AAGCCAATCGACACCTTCCGGTTGCGGTAACATATCGCGTTCCCTCACGGACGCGTACCTCTGCCATGAAGGTCAGGAAAAAGAATCTCTGTGATACTTGCCGCAAACGAAAACTTCAGGTATGTTGGCATGATTCCTTGATTTCGGGATGTATGTGCTGATCTTATCTGCTATTAAACAGTGCGATGGCAAGCGTCCAGCATGCACTCAATGTGTTTTCAGTAAGCGAACATGCGAAGGGTACCCGGACGCCTTATTTGTACCCTTCGACGCGACCAAAACGGCAGTAAAGCCAAGGGCGCGTCCGAAATCGGCTCCGCGGACAAAGCTGCCTCTCCCAGTGGATGCGCAATGCCCTTCCGATGCCGAATCGGGTTGTACTCAGGCTAAAGACGAGTCGACTAGACTTCCCCAGCAGGTCACCTTCACATCGAGCGACTTACCACCTTCGCATGGTGCTTATCCTCCAGATCCTTCCATCGTCCGCGAGAAAGTATCGTTGATCTTGCGCAATTTCATCCCCGTCCAAGAGCTACCATGTAATGCGACACATGCATCTGAACAATGCTCATGGTTTTGTGGCTCTTGGGCCAAGGCCCTCCCAGAACTCACTGCCGATATGACGGGACCGTATTCTCAGTGTTTGTACTCGGCCGTGAGCGCTTTGGCACTTGCTATCACCGCTTATCGAGAGCGTAGAGACTGTCTCAATGCAGTAGTCGCGCAATATGAGGACAGTCTCCGCCTTCTGGGAGAAAGTCTTGCAGCTGTGGGAGATACCTACAGAAGCGAACTTGTAGCCGCAGTCATGTGTTTGGCACTGACGGAGGTAACCTCGCCTATCTCTTAGATGACTGTCTGCGATACCTTCGGCAGTCTTCTAAAGCACTTCTTTCGAACAGAAGCTAATAACACATGACAGGTGCTGTCGCCAACCCAAGAGTCAAGTTGGCTGATACATGTCGAAGGCGTCAGCAAGATGTTTCAACTCATGCCACCGGAGCTCTTCGCATCGGGCATTGAGCATACTATGCTCATGGGCTTCAGACCGCTTTTAGTAAGTACAGCGTCACGTAGACATCATCTCTGATCTAACACCTCTACGCGCCAGGTACTCAAAGCTTTCATACTTCGGAAATCGACATTCTTCGCAGATGGATCCTGGCTTACACTGCCCTTCCAGCATCACAAAGGTGCCCCATTACAGAGTCTCTTGGGTGTCGCAGCCCACATCCCAGGTCTCCTGGAGAAGATCGACGTCGTACTGCCTACATCCCCCGACGCCGCCGCCATTGGCACAGCCGGAGCAGCCTCTCAACTCATAACCGAGCTCATGGGAAGCATATCCCAACTCAAGAACTGGCACAGTGGCTTTCTAGCAAACACCCTAGAACCAATCTCCTGCCGACAGAGCGTAGAGCGCGATCTCGGCGGCACCTACGAGTCACTATGGTACCCAAGCCTCGGTATCGCTAACGTCTTCGTCTACTTCTGGGCTTTCCAACTTCTCTGCCTCAAGGAGATTCAGGGCCTGTTGAACCGGTTTCCGGGACTGAAGCATGTGGTGCGTGATGATGCGGCATACAGCCCCGAAGCGTTGCGGGAGGAGTGCCTTGAGCTCAGCACTTGCATATACAAGAGCATGGAGTATCTACTGCAGGAAGACTTTATGCTGTATGGTATCTCATCTGCTGGGTTTCCGTTGAGCATGGCGTGTGAGGCGCTCCAGGCGAATGTCGATGGGCGAGCCATCATGGCGACGCTGGATCAGTCGATTATTACTCGGGCGAGGCTGAGAAACCTATGAGTCTGCGTATTTGAGACTACTTATGAGGGAGTCAGAACCAACCAAAATGAATGAAAACTCTCGGTCCTGGTACAATAGTGTATTGTATTGGTAGAAACAAAACTAAGGTTACATTACAAGCATACATCATCATGAGTATCGTCATCCCCCTCCTCCCTACCACCAAACAATCAGTTATTACATTGCGCCCCGTCTGTCATATTGATCTCCGTATACACTAAATGGTCCTGGTTAATAAAGCCCGTAGCAGTTCCCTTGTTACAATCGGGCGCTTCCTGGCCAAAGCAGCGGTACGTTGTCCCCGCACTCTGAGTACCTAGAATGGGTGCAGTGTCTTGCTCATAGATCTCAGTGCGTGTATGCACGAAACCCATGGGGGTGAGCGGTAATCCGGGTACGCCGTCTATGCGATGCGTGATGCGGATGAGAGTGCCGAGTTGGGTGTCGCTCGCGCCAGATAGCTTGTCAGTGTAGTCGGCGTACTGTTGGTTGCCGACGCGCAGGGAGCCCATGGTGTATGCGATCTTGATTGGTACGCCGTTGGCTTTGAGGTCCGTGTAGGCGATACTTGCCAGACCACCTCCTAGACTGTGACCAGTGATGATGGTGGAGTAGGACGGCTTCTCAGCACGTAGTTCCGCGAGAGCCTGAATGACACCAGCCTGGACGGATCGCCAACCTTTCAAAACACCTCCATGGACTTGGCAGCCGGTGCATCCTGGTGCGGAATCAAAAGGCATGAAGAAGAAGTTGAAGTCTGTCCCGAAATCCTGGAGTGAAGATGAGCCAGCGAAGGAGACGATGAATTCTTTGGCGGCGTCATCTTGGAAGACGGCGACTTGGGTGTCGTTTACGATATCGGACACGACTTTTCGGACTAGTTTTGAGCCAAAGGGAGGGCTTTTGCATGTTCCGAAGCCGTAGACGAAGGTGGCGAGGGAGGCGACGGCGTATCTGGTGTATCGTTGTAGGACTGGGTAGAACTCTGGCTGAACTGGTGGGAGTAAGCAAGCGATCATGTCGGATACAGTTGGTATATCGTACTGAGTTCTTTGGGTTTTGTCTGCCTGTTGGCAAGTTCCCGGATGTCAGTTGGGGCAGCCTCAACGAAGGGTGCGGCGAGAGCGGCAACGGCAAAGGTGGAGAGCTTCATGATGATGAGATGTCTTGATCCTCAACAACAACTCTCTCATCAAAGCGACAACGCATTATATACATACAGGACCCTGCCACTGACTCCACTCCACTCCCTAAACGCTTCCACCATTCCAAGGCACCGTAGCACACCTCTCGGAACCAGCCATCCTGAGTCGTTCAAGCATCGCTTCGTGCAGATCGCAAGCTACCAGCTGTCAGGTACGCCGCACGACTCGGTCTCACAAGCTCCAACCCCGAACTCATCATCCTCCTAAAAGGTTGAAGGTGGAGTCCAGTGGCGCAAACTAATCGCCGTGACAGGCTCGGACCTGCGCCCTGAGGTGTTCAGGGCACGTAGCGCCTGACCGATCGCCATGTTCGCACTTTGTTTTGCCGCTACGCCGACGTGTTAGTGTATCGAAAACCACAATATACACTTCGGCAACTTCGCTTTCGCTTTCACGCACGTGTGTGCTGCTGTGTGGTAAGCGGGAACGACCGGCTGCGCGTGCGTGTTGTGGAGATGGTATGTATGTATGGGGGATCGCGGCAGGCTTCGTGGTGATCGACCCCGCACTGGTTTTCTCCGCTGTCTGCCGTCGCGTCGACTTGCCGTTGATACCTACCTAGGTAACTTTCGCTTCACATGATTGCGACTGTACGACCGCATGGTACTGGATACGGTGAAGACGCAAGTTCCGAATGTACCTGTCCAGTAACCCGCAGACACGTGCGAGGCGATTGGCATCAATCTAGGAACCATACTTGAACCGGATGCGACGCGACTTCTGCATTCGACCCAACGGCGTGAAGCTAGAGGTTAAAGAGGACCTCTCTCCGCAAGCCTAGAGCTACCTAGGTATACAGCAGATACTACCCAGCGCCCGGATATGTAGAATGTAATCATACTCGACGTCGAAGCCTAGCAGGTCGAGGATTACAAATGTCATCGGAGGCTTCTCCTCCGTCTGACGGGTACCTAGGCAGCGTCATCCATGAAATTGAGAAAAGGATTTGATACCTCGGCCTCCACGGCATTCGACAATGGGAAGTACCGCAACGGCTCGTTCGTTGTCTGACTCGGGTTTTGCATGTTGCCATACCATCGTCTGTCCCTGCGCAGCAGCTCGCCGACAGCCGGGCGACCTCAGCGACACTCCTCTCTATCCCAACAACAATGACCTCACACATCGAATTTTCCATCATTTACACACCATTCAACGGTTCGGAGGAAACCCTAGCTACCGTCACTATCGAACCACCCATATAAGGTTACACACAAGGTTTGCTGACACCCGCTCAGCGTTTCAGCACCTCACAACTGTGACAAACACGTCATTCTCATTGCGTTTACATCCAGCTCTCGCATGTCATCGGCGGAGAGACTTTCTAACTGTATACCAGACATCGTCATGTGGGTGTCCCCGAAATAATGCGTTCACCATGGCGTGGTGGATCAAGAGAATATTGGAGAAAGTTTCGGACAGAGTGGATGATTGGGTTACGTTTGGCAGGAGCGGAGAGTGACTACATAGAGCAGACAACAAGAGACTTTAATTACCTATCCTGCGCAGTAAGGTACAAGTTCAACGATGAGCGCTGTAAGAAAGACTAGGCTACTGTCTGCATCGAAGGAGCATATGCCTCTTTGGTGTGGGATCAAATCCTGGAACTGTTGGGAGACCCTCACATCCGCCTAATAGATACCGCTTTTATCTCTAACCCTTCACATACGACCATAGGACATTGAGAATTAGGCTTCCCGTCCGCTCAGCCATATACAAGCAATGTACCGGCGGATTAGTAGTTAGGTGGGTGACCACTAGCGAATCCCCGCTGTTGTATGTTTTCGCTGTTTTTTGCCCCTTTTTTTGCTCCAAATCCGACCGCAGGAGACGAAGCTTTAGCCGTGGAAGAAGATGTATGTGACATGACATGCTCCGGTTCTGACACGCGATCTGTCTTACAGGCGAGTGTGCCTTGCATTTTTGCCACTAGCTACCTGTAGCTGCGTTTCCCTCCTCTGCGTCTGTGCCGAATACGTGTGCCATCTCCTCTACACATTCCCAAAACCCTTCGAATTCCGAATCGCCAACCCCAACTTCCTCTCCAACAATCCCTTGTCGCCATAGTCCGGCAAATATAGCTTCCCAAAACACGTGCTACTACTCGGCAAGCTCCCCGGGCTTCCCATGATCCTAACAATGTGAAACGTGATACTCTCGTAGCCCGTAACAGGGACACGGTCACTTGCAGTAACAAACTCGAGGAGAAGGCGTAATTCTTCTTGGCTGTACCCCTCGACCACATCCCAGAAGTTGCGGATATTGGAATGTGTGGCTGTGTAGCCGTCTTCGTATTTCGCGCAGCGTTTCAAGTCGGGGATGGAGATGTGTTGTGTGCCTTCGATGAGGTGGCGGAGGGACTGTGGGGTGAAGAGTTGGAGGCTCTTTGGGTGGATGCAGGTGAGGAAGCCGTGCAGGAAAGGGATGAGGTTTGGGGCGACGGAACTGTATGTCAGGGCGCGGACGTAGTCTTTGACATACTGTAGACGATTTTCGTTGGTGACCAGACCGGGTTCTTCGAGAGGGGAGTTTGATTCAGCGAGGGCAGGGAAGTTATCACCTAGGTTTTGGTCGACTGGCTGGCCGAAAGCTTCGTAGCTGAACACGTACTCGCGCATGAAGACGTCGCTGACGTCGCCGTCGCTCCAGGATAGGAGGGTGCGGAAACTTTCTGCTAGGCTGGGCCAGCCGTCGCTGATGTAGTCGATGGGGTCGTAGTCAGCTGGACCTTCGACGCGCGGGTTTCCGATGGTTTGCAGATACTCGTAGAAGGCGAGGGGAAAGGTGACGGGTAGGGTGATGCCGTTGTAGACGGCAAGACTGAATAGTATACCGAGCATCTGGAACTTCCAGGGAGGTTCGAAGCTGCCTGGCTGGAACCACGTCATGTGCGTCTGTGGATCGATCGTGAACATGCCTGGTAAAATTAGTTGGGGAGGTTTCGCAATGGTATAGTAAGGCTCACCATTCTCCGGCCTGAATGCCTCACTCAGAACGACGCGGAAGAATTCGTACGTCACGCCGCCGTGATCCGCACCAACTTCTCCTTCATTGTGACCCATCTTGACCTTGAGCGGTTTCAGCAACATCCTCTTGTCCATACCCCACAGCTGATCAAGTGTGTCTTTCAAAGGTTCTTCGCGACTGACATCCAACACTAGGTATTCACTCAGGGTAGTCTTCATCTTCCTCTTAATAATCCACCAATAAGGCTCTTTGAGGAACATCTCCAGCGACTTCTGCATTTGGTGGGTGCGCATAGTATGGTCGTACTGCTTCATCATCTCAGTGAAGTTGATGGTACGGAAGTACGCTACGAGATGCTGCGCGGAGAAGAGGCATGGGTATTCGAAAACGTGTAGAGTATTGGGGTGATGCTCCCATGTGAGGTAGTTGACAGGCTCGTTTACTGTGTCAATGCGCTCATCGAGTATCGGCATTTCGAACATGTTCGAGTGTAAGTGTAGAGCTTGCCGCTTCGAGTCTGGAAACGTTAGCTTAGTTATAGTAGAAACATCCTGTATGCTTACGGAGTTTGTCGAGAACCATCACGGCTGTGCCAACGCTGCTCCATTTGTTGATTTCAGCCTTGCTGTCCCATTTCTTGACGATGATAGTCCTCAGCCACTCCATGAAAGTAGCTGTCACAGTCCACCCTGGATCTCCGTCGCGGTCATAGCTCGAGTTCAGCTTCATCTTAGCCGCCATACTGACGCGCTCCACCACCTCCAGATGTTGCATAATCACATCCACAAGCCCGACAGAAGGTGTAACCTGTTCTGACTCATCCCGGTTCGTCTCTGCGACGTCTAAACTGGCGAGTATATGTTCGAAACAAGTCCGCGTTCCGATAGCCCGAAGTAAACGATCGGCAAGACGCACTGCCGGTTCGTACTCCAACTCGTCAATGATGTCCATGTAGGGATGCGCAAAGGCGTCGGTATTGGGAGTACTAGTGGGCACCATCACACCCCAAGATCGAAGCTTCCGTATTTGGGCCCATGTGTGCGGCCATCCAAGCGGTACCAGGGAGGTGAGTGCGTGTATGCATATCATAACGATGTGAGCGGCTTCATGGGTGTCGAGATAGCGCGAGGCACCTTGATGACCACTGGAGGACGGGTCGGGAGGACTGTTATTGGAAGCGCCCTTTCTTGATGGCCTCAGACGGGGACTCTTCTGAACGTCGAGTTCAGGTGGAGAGACGAACAAAGCGTCCAGTGCGAGCCATAGGCTATCGAAGATGAGCGCACCGTTGCGATGGTTCCAATCTCTAAAAGAGTTCGCTAAGCGTGATGAGTCGAGATGAGATAAGGGTGAGTCTTTGAAGTCTTGGTTGGTATCATGGAATGATGCAAGTAGCTTTTCTGGGCCACTCAAGGTATAGAACAGAGATCGGTTGACGAGGGGTTTTGTACGTCGCGTACGTCGCCGACGATCAAAGTCGACAACGTAATTGAAGTCTGTAGTGTGGCTCTTGCCGTAGCGATGGACGTCGTCTTTGAGCTCATCGAGGACATTGCAATTCAATGTTGGGATAACGGGTACATCGGATGATGAATGTTCCTCAACAAGGGTGTTCTTAGGTAGTTCGGTTGCTGCTGATGATGGCTTCGCGCGGGGCGCAGCAGCCGGGTATGTCCCACCGATAGTGAAGCTTTTCTTTCCTGTTTTCGAGATTGATAGCATCGCTAGATCTGATGCACCATCCACGGCAGTAGGATATGCTGCTGAAGGAGGATGTCTTTGAGTCGTGCCGTTCGAGGGATGGTAGGGTATCCTGTGGACATGGTGCCCGTTAGTCAGGACCTCAGCGCCAGCGTTGTCTGGCTGTGCACTGTCACGAGTGGCGGCTGATAGATGTGAATGCTGACGAACGATACGCGAGTTTTCATTCGAACGTGATGTGTTCGAATCGTTTGTACCAAGCGTTGGCCTGGTGCTTGGATCCGCATGACGCCCATCGGTCTGGGAAGCGAGTGTAGCGAATGTTTGAGTAGAACGAGCGTCATGTGCAGGAGTATGCTCGGATTTGCGAAGTGAAGCAAGGACAGAAGCAGGTGTGGGTATTTGCGTGGTATAAGAGTATATCATAGTCAAGCTGTCGTACAAGTTCTGACTAAGAGCCTTTGGGTCTTTTCTAGCTTGCTGCCGTTGCTTGAGGGCATTGATCAAGTCGCCGTCCAGCTCTTGTTGACCACTATCTCCCGCACGACGTTGCCTACGCTGTTGTGCCAGCTGCCATACCGAAGGATAGACAATATAGTCCTCGGCGGAGTCAATCCTAGCATGCTGGGCGCGGCTATCCGTACTCTCGAACGAGTCAGGCGCGAGCTTGAGCTCGTGGGGGCATAGGCCGCGGTTCGGGTTGTCTTGACCGGCGAGGTAATGGGCTAGGGCGGTGGCCGTGAGCAATGTAGGTGGACGGTGTGGTCTGGACGCGATGCGCTTGCCGGATGAGAGGCACGTGGGGGTATCGCAGTAGGCACTTTTACAGCCATGTAGGATCTGGGATAGGTAGCTAGTTAACAGTCAGCATTCGCTCCGAAAATGAGAGTGAGTGATGGGCGCACTGTCGGACAAGATGCTGGAAGCGGCGCTGTCGTTCTGTCTGTGAGCATTCCAGGACGCGTTTGGTGTCTTGTACGTCTATCACATCTTTCCTACGGGAGCGGTTCGAGGCACGTGATGGCCGTGTCGATGGTCCAGCCGCTGCAGAAGCCGATGGGGTTTGGTTGGTGGCATTGTACGGAGCATCGCGAGGGTGCTCAGGCCCGTCTGACGTGCTCATATCATCGATGACGATGTCGTTGTAAGAGAGAGTGGCGGCTAGAGATGCGGTCTGGTATTGTATGTGCGAGTGTCATGGTATCACATAGTCGCTCCCATATAGACAGATACACGAGTGTAGGGCTGAGGTAGTGGCCGAGGGGTGCTCTTGCCCTGCGGCTCTAATCCGCTGCAGGGATGGCAGGTGCCAGTGGCTTGGCGCAACGCCTGCCGATTGATGTCATGCCTGTGCGCTTCAATATTCGCCCCAAGTCGGCCTTTTGCGCAATTCACCATCTTCGCCGTGCGCTGCACTGCTGATAAGACGCAGAATCTGACTCCCGCGCCTTCTCAACTTTGTAATCGCGCTCTGCTCGGCCTAGTCGTTTTTTTGCCCCTCGGCCAGTCATAAAGTCGTGAAATCGTCGGCGCTACCACATCCCACACTCAACCCCACCTACCGCCTATATTTCTACTCCTCCATCCGAGTGCAACCACACCGTCAAGCCCGACTACACTCGCAAAGATGGCGTCGCAAGTTCCTTCCCAGGCTAACATCCAGTCTACGCATCCCTTCACTTGCAACACATGCCAGGTCGCCTTCCGATCGAGCGAGTTGCAGCGGGCGCACATGCAGACCGACTGGCATCGCTACAACCTCAAGCGTCGCGTGGCCTCGCTCCCACCGCTATCCTCGGAGATCTTCACCGAGAAGGTTCTTGCGAACAAGGCCACCGCTGCCGCCACTGCCGCCAAGGCGTCGTTTGAGAAACTGTGCACCCCATGCCAGAAGACGTACTTCAGCGAAAATGCGTACAACAACCACCTCAACAGCTCCAAGCACCGCATCAACATGGCCAAGTCGGGCAGAGGCGCGCAACTAGACGATGCCGCCTCGGTGACGGGCTCCATGGTCAGCTCTGCCTTCTCGCTGGGAGAGTCCATGGCTGAATCGGAAGCCACCACCGTCAACGGGGACAAGGACGTTGCAGATGTCGCCGAAGGTCTGCAAAACGCGAGCCTCGAGGGCGAGGACGCAGCTGAGAACGAGTCCACCGCCGCCGAAGACGACAAAAGCTCCGTCGCCGCATCGACCAAGCCTGCCACCGATCCCCTCCTCGACTGCCTATTCTGCAACTACAAGTCGCCCAACTTCCAGCTCAACATCACCCACATGGGACGATACCACGGCATGTTCATACCCGAGAAGGAATTCCTCGCTCAACCCGAGGAGCTTATCAAGCATCTCCACGAGAAGGTTCACGCTTACCACGAGTGCCTGAAATGCCACAAGACTCTTCACACCGCCTCTGGCATTCAAACGCATATGCGCGACCGCGGCCACTGCATGATTGCTTTCGACTCGGATATCGAGCTGGTCGAGATTGGCGAGTTCTACGACTTCCGGAGCTCTTACCCTGACGCTGCCGACTTCGACGAGATGGCAGAGGAGGCTGAAGATTCAGACGATTCATCATCTACAACAGGAGGCGGAATCAAGCTCGGTGCCAGGCGCGAGACCAAGACTACCACAGAAGATGACGCAGCCATGTCGAGCAACGCCGAGGAGGACGCAGGTTGGGAGACCGACAGCACCGTCTCGAGTGTACCGACCGATGAAATCACAGCCGTACCCATCGACCGCAGCCACCGCCACAAGTCACTCAACAAGTCGAAGCACCACAACCACGCCGACCCCCGCCCACACCGCGCTGCTGACGGCTTCCACTCCCACGCGCACCACACTCCCCAAGCCGTCTACCACGACGAATACGAGCTGCACCTCCCATCCGGTCGCACCGCTGGTCACCGCTCACTAAACAAGTACTACCGCCAGAACCTGCGCAACTACCCCGGCGTCGCCGAGCGCATGGAGGAAGCCCAACGCGCCCGCATACCCGGTGCCATCACCGCCGGCGACGAAGACGAAGAGGACCAGGACGGCGACGTCACCATGGACGGCGAGGAAGGCGACGAGGGCAGCCAACTCCAAGTCCGCGGTCGCGGCCACGACAAGGACCGCCAGCTCCTGTCCCGCGCCAACGGCGGGCGGGGTATGGTCGGTGTCACCGACGCCAAGAAGAAGGAGATCCAGGCTGTCGAGAAGCGCGATAGGAGGAAGGAGCAAGCTGCTCGCAGCCGCTACCAGGCTAATGTTGAGAAGGCGCAGAACTCGCAGAAGCATTTCCGCGATCCCCTCTTGCAGTAGTTGGATGGATTTCCCGTTTGTGGGCGGATTGGCGGTTGCTTTTGGGTTCTTTTCTTTCTTTTATCCGAGTGTCTTTTTAACGAAACTTTTATGAGCATGCGTGGGCGTTTTGCGTGCAGACAAAAGGCATTACACCTAGTGACTAGAATGTCGCAGATTCTGTGATACACTTTGGAATATGGATTACATTACAGAAAAGACCGAGGTGGCTGCATGTTCTCTGATTCTATCGTGATGGGACGTTGTTCATATGCTACGGATGTTTGACACTAATACATCGACTTCATATCCATGACATTATCCTACGTTTCCCTACATACCAACATCCACCATGTCACATCCGCCAACCTTTTATCCCACATCCAAACCACATCCAAACCATCCAACCACATCCCCAATCTTTTCCCAAAACCACACTCCCTCACCGTCCTTCCCTGTCTTCACTCTCCCCCCTCAACCCCGCAGCATGCACCTGCCTCCTAATATCAAACAACGCATCATCAATCTCCCTCTCCTCCTCGCGCCCTAGAACCAGACTCGGAGTGCGGAAAAGATATTCCTTGAGGCTCTTGAGTTGGTTGATGATGCTGCGGGGGGTGAGAATGACGCGTTCGGCGAAAGAACGGGTAGGCGTATCGGTGCCTGTTGCTGATTGTACAGGTGGGGGTTGGGGTTGTTGATGGGACTGGGAGTGAGAAGGCTCGAGCCCGACGTTGTGCTCATCTTGAAGCTCCACCACACTCCCCCCTCCCTCCACCACATCCCCATCCCCATCCCCATCCCCATCCCCATCCCTTCCAACTCCATCCATCTTCCCCGACCCAGAAGACCTCGGCCTCGGACTAACCTGCACATGACTCAACCTCTTACTCCCACTACTTCCCGGCGTCGACCTCTTCGCTTCACTGACATCCTGATCCGCATTCTGCCTCGCTCGCTTAGGCGCTGGAGTTTCATCCACAGTGATATCCTGCGTGTTTTCGACGTGAGAGAGGAGGGATTGGGAGCGGCGGAGGTTTTGCTTCCGAGTTGTTGATGCGGGGACGGGGATGGGGGGTTCGGTGGTGGTAGTGGTAGTGGTAGTGGTGGTAGGGTGAGTAGATTTACGTTTCTTGCCTCGTGGGTTGGAAGTTGGGACTGGGGCGGCGACGGTGATGTTGTCGAGGATGTCTGTCTCGGAGGGCTGGGATGATTCGGGCTCTGGTTCTGATACCGGGGCGGGAGCGGTAGCTGGGGCAGGCGCAGGACTCTCTTGCGTCTGTTTCTTGCCGTTCTTCTTGTTCTTTGCGGGTGTGCGTCTGGGTTTCTTTCCACTTGGGGGTCGGGAGGGGCTTCCCATGGAGTGGCGGGAGGAACTACGCAGGGAGTACGGTGTTCCTTTTGCGGAACTGTTGTCGAAAGAGTCGCCTACTCGGCTCGTGCTGCTTGTATTGGCTTGGGAGCTCTTTCGCGGAGATCGGCGGGCAGGGCCGCGAGTTGGCGTTTGTGACTCGTCTACTTCGGTGTCGCTACCAGCTTGGTCCTCCAACATTGATGACTGTGGATGTGATGCGGCATCGACGTATTCGGGATTAGAATCTGATTGTGCGGACTCTGTTGCTTCCGCAGGAGCATCATGTACTTGCATATCAGCGTCGATCTGGGCTGTGAGTTGCAGGTCTATGGTGGAGCTTGGTACGTCTGACATGACAGTGTCTGAAGGGAGTTCAGCGTCCATTTGTGTGTTGTCGTGGAGAGCAACAGCATCAAGCAGTGCTTCCTCATCGATTGTCGTTCCTTCATCAAAGGAAACCGAGACTGAGCTTTCTGGTTGACGGTACTCAAAGCTGGATCCTACGAGAACATCAGGCTCGCTTTGCTTGGTGTTAGATCTGTCATCCTTGTTGAACTGAGGCGGCGAAGAGTTCAGATCATCGTTCGCAAACTGTATGCTCCGCACGGCCGTCGGTGTTGCAATGTCCGTGTCCTCGCTCACAATATGACGAGTATTCTTGCGGGAATGTGGAGTTGGCGACGATCCAAGGTAGCCGTCCATAGGACCCATGGCTGCGAGAGCCCTTAGTGGAGTTGCCCGGGAGGCGGTGTCTGGCAGGTCATCTGCAGTCAACGCATCTGAGTGTATCTCCATCGGCGATCGCACATCCTCTGGCTGTGGCGAGACAGCGCCCATTTTAGCGAAAATACCGCTGCTGAGTCTTTGACGATCGATCATCTCCTTTTGTCGATCAGTCAATACCTGGGATTCCTGCTGGAACGGATTCGATGGCGAGGAGACGATAGGCTCGAATTTGATCTGAGAGTCGTCGTGGCGGAGACGAATCTTCGGGGTTTGTCGCGAGGGCACTCTCCTGGTGGCTGAGGTGGGTACTGCCGGAGACCGAGACTTGGATCTCCGCGACGCTTTGGAGATCTTGAAGGGCGAGGCCTTTGCTCGCGGGCTCTTGAATGCACGTTTGACTTCGTCTGCGCTCGTATCGGAGTCGTAGAACGAGAGCTTGTTCTCCTGTTTTGACATTAGTAGCGTTTCGGAGATACTGATATACGCACTTACAGCATCGTCTTCCCGGACTTCCAGTGAAGGAAGAGAAAGCTCGACACTGTTCCGTAATTGGCGCAGAGCCTGCTCAAGTCGAGTAGGGTATCGCAAGCTATCCTCTTTTCCAAAGGTGGCATTCCAGGTCGCAATAGAGATGTTGACGATACTTCGGCGTCTGCTTAGGAAGCCTGCGGTCACCAACGCTTGTAGATGAAGCAGCGTTTGGCTGTCCTTGCGCGGTAACCGCTCTACAGCTTTGTTGACTTCCTCCCACATGTTGATGACCTGGAAATGGTTAGTGACTGCTGAAGCTTTCGGATAACGGTGAACATACCTCACGATGCAAGCTCTTCAGTGGCTCTTCCCTGCTCTGCATCTTCTTCTCCGGGTCTTCCACCCAAATCTGGATCGCATCTTGTATCTTGCGTAGATACCCAGCGAGATGAGACGTCGAGCAGTGTTGAACCGAGGTGCTCAGCGCAGAAAGAAAGCCTTTGGTAGGCTCTACATCGTCTTTATCAAGATTCCTGTAAGCAGCTGACCCAACGGAAGTGATGGCTCCGTAAAGATGGACATAAGGGTCGATGTCATGGGACCTTGCAGCTGTGTTTGAAGGCCAAAGATTCTGCCGACCTTGATCCATCACTTTGCGGCTCATCTGCTTTGGTAGGTTGCGGAGAAGAATGCTGGCGTATGCCAGACAGGAAGCTTTGTCTTCGTCAGGTGTGCGCTTCAGGACTTGCTCAGAGACCTTTTCAATAACAGCGAGTGCAAGTGCACCTTCTCCTGCTTCTCGTCGGACGGTACCAACCAAAGTCGACAGAATCTGCTGCCCGACAGGCTTGTCTAGCAAGTAGGCAGAACCCAGACTGAGGATTTCGACCACAATTTCGTACTCTTTGCCCAATGAGCGAGCACTGCGGTCACCTGAAGGGGCTGTTTGATCTTGCAACATGGTATCGAGCAAGGTCACAATCCGCGTCCAGAACTCTGATGCCACTGCACCCTTCAGTGAGCCATCCACCGTCGCGGCACAATCCCGAAGAAGCTCCAACTTGCTCAACCGAGTGTTTTGGGCAGCAAAACAGGGCTCGATGATGACGTCCATGGCGCGGAGTCGAACAGGATCAGCTAGCTTTCCTTCTGATTGTGTGACGAGAAGATCCAGTAGGAAGAGAAGCGGGGACGATCGGGTGCCTTGGTGCCGTGATCGATGTGATGGTGTCGATGCGACTTCGATCTCGTTGTCGGCGTTGCGTGTGAGACATTTGTCTGCGAACTGAAAAGCGCCCATCTTCTGCACAACAGTCTCAATCAGGAAGCAGAACTTGGTTGCCCAAAGATCCTCCCTCTTCTGTTCTACCGCAATGTTGTCCGTGTGGCTGTCCCAGATCCGACGCAGCAGGTTGATGATATGTGCCATGGCATCTTTGGTTTCTGTGGACGCCATGATCTCCTTACTGCTTGCTTCCACCAAAGAGTTGATGACTGCTGTCCACATCGTCTGAAACGGTTCATCTTCCTGGTCTTTGCTTTCGGTCTTGAGTGCAGCCTCTAGAATATCCTCAACAAATTCCAGTACAAGAGCAATCGACTTGCGTACCCACTTAGGATCGACTAGAGGTAGCTCGCCTCGCTGGATCATGGCATGTGGCCGAAGATCTAGCGCCCGATTCTCGTTCCAAGGTTTTCGAGAGCCATCCAAGAGAGCAGATACAATTCGGCATGGTATGGCGTGCTGCGGAGCAGACTTTGCGATTATTGGACTCCAGAGGCCAGCTATGAAGTCAGTCCAATGTCCGTCGAATTGTTCAAAAGAGGCTGCTGGTCGAAATGCATAATACAGCATTGTGAAGTATGCGGATGAAACAGCATCGCGCTCGGCTTTCTTTACTGGGGTCTTCCGTTGCAGTGCATGTACCGAGATTTTAACGAACATCCCCGACCAGGCTTTGACTTTCTTTTCTTCGGGTAGGTTCATGAAGTTAACAGAGTATGCCAGGAAGGCAACGGCGACATTGGAGTATAATCGGACTTGGTCGTTGTCCGATGACAGACACTTGTTAATGAGGACCAGCCAATCCTTCAAGCCTGCAAACGCGTCAAGCGAGTCTTTGAGTAGACCTGTGACAGCAGCCACAATCTGTGGCACCAAGACGGCGTAATCACCACCGAGCATACGATCCAGTTCACCTGCGAAAACGCTAGCAATGGTGCCGCCGTCGCTCTTGACCCGGTTCAGAACAGACAAGACCGATTTGGCGACATGTCGGTCATGGCCAATGGTCTTCGCAGCCGTTACTGCAGTGTCCAGTGCGCTTTGGCTGATATCCTTCTGAACCGACACCAGAGCTTTGAGGGTATGCGTGAACCATCGTTCAGTATGCCTGATCATAACGTCCGGGCGTTGCTGAAGCAGCTTCCTGTATATCCGGACCCTGTATGCCTGTACCGCGTGGCCCGATGTTCGCTCGTGGATGGTGTCTAGTGCCTCGAGCACCTTCTCGACGCGTGTCGCAGTCATGGTCTTCGGCCGGAAACTTTGCTGCATCAGGACAGCCAGGTGTGTGTTGACGGTGGTCTTGGGCATGGAGCTATCGGAAGCTACGCGGATGATGCGGTCGATGATGAAGGAGCAGAAGTCTTCGTCCATGGCGGATATCAAGTCTGTGATGCGGAACAGAGCCATGAGCAGCTTCATCGCCTGTCCAATGAGCTGTGAGTCCAGTCCTGTCCCACCCACGCCTGCAGCTGTTATGTCGCGCCGTATGAATTGGGTCAACAGAGACATCTTCTGCTTCAGCGCCTGGGGGTCGGGTATCTTGTCGTATGCCTGCATTGTCCTCTGCAAAGAACCGTATGCATCTAACCGCGTTCCGCGCTCGGAAGAAGCGAGCAGCTTCACTATCGCGTCCAGCATTTCGGCGAATGACTTGTAGTTGAGCGGGTTGGCAGCGTCTTCTGCGGGAGGTGTCTGCGTGCCGTCGGAGGGCTTCAGGATCGACTTGAGCGGCTTCGTGAGGCGGTTCTGGGGGAGGGGCTTCAGCGGTGAGCTACGCGTGGGTGTCCAGGACTGCGCGACTGCCTTGTTGGTGGGTATGTCGCATAGCTGCAGCTCGAAGTTGACTCTCTTCCGTGCGCTTGCAGAACTCGAGGGTATGTCGATGTCGGACGACGGCGATTGCTCTGGCGTGTTGGGCACTCTCTTCGCTGCTCGGAGCCTGGGCGGGATTGGCTTCTCGCCAAAGGGGTCTTGGAGGAATTGCACCGTCTCGTCGGCGGCTGTGTCTTCTTGGTCTTTGGGTGGAGTCGGAGGGCGCACGGAGAGAGATTCGAATTTGGACGACACCATGGCTATGCTGGGAACCGCTAGCAAGAAAAGAGAACAAAAGCACGAGAAGACGCTGGCATCGCTCTGGTATGCGTGAGTGAATGTGCAGAGCGTGTGGAGGTGATCGACTACCCCGGTCTAGAAGTCAAAGGTTGGTGTTGGCGACGCGTCTAGCGCGACGCTCCTCGTGCGCGTAAAGTGCTAACCTTAACCGCCATTCACTGGACGACGGGCACTCGAGCCAGCTCCCGCCCCCTGCGTCCGAAACATGTTTTGTTGTGCCAGTCTGATGGCAAGCAGTCCTCCAGCGCATATTGTCATATTCTCTGGTATGATGAGAACGAAGCAAAGAATCCACGTATACCGTGTTTGAATGTTGCTTCTATGACATGATGCTGCAACCATATGTAAAGGCATCACACCAGATGAAATGATGTCTGTTCTAAAAACGATAAACGATCAAGGCATCCGTGAACAGACTATGGCTACTTGCTTTATGGCACCTGCTATGGTTCATTGCTTGTTAATGCGGACCCTGGAATGCGACAGTCGATGTAGGTCCCACAATAGTGGGGCTTTCCGAGCGCGAGCTTCCACCCCGAGTGACGTGATGCGCTCTGAACGTGCCCTGCAACGCAACCGCCATGTTGTCGCAAAGAACGGGTAGAGGTCAGTACTACTGCGCAGGACTACCTTCCACGTGACCCCATTACTAACAGTGTCACAGCAAAGCTCGACGACGTCACTAGAATACTCTCCGAGTTGAAAGCCGACCTGGACGCGAAGAAGCTGTCTACTCAGCGCATGTCTCCTACCCTAGACACGCATGCGTTGCGCTGACTGGATTGATAGAAAAGCAACAGTTACTCGAACAGCTTAAAGTCTACGGCCGATCAGTCGAAAACTCCGATCCTATATTCACAGAAGATGTACGCTACACTTCGCGCGGAGCGATGGGAACGGCATAGTGACCGTTACAGGGCCTTCGGACACTAGGACGCCATGCATTTGACGGCGAGACCACTGTCGCATCACAAGAGGCTCTGCGGTGTATAGCCAACGCCCTTCTCCTCCAACCCAAGACGCGCCAGATACTCGTCGATCTAGGCCATGGCCCACACGCAGCGGAAAAGCTGAAGGTACGCAGACGTCCAAGTAGTATACACAGCTCCATGCTAAAACCTCCCAGAGCTCCAGCATCGACAACGAGTTCCTCGCCTCCCGCATCCTCTTCCTCACAACCTACGACACAACCCTCGACTACACGCAACTCGTCCGCTCCAACGACCTAGCCTCCAGCATCAACGCCGCCATAACGCGCCATGCTGCGCGATACTCCAAGACCGCACCAGCAGGCGCAAAAGGACACAACCAACCCATGGAACTCATGGCCCTCGCCGAAACCCTCAAGCTCGTCTTCAACATAATCCACTTCCACACCGACCTCAGCCCCCACTTCACCCCCTCCATACCCTGCGTCTTCAAGATCCTCGTCCGGCGCGGCGTAACCGAACCACCATTAACGGTTCCAGCCCGCGAACTCGTCAACGTGCTCCTGCACCTCGATCTAGAGTGCGAAGAAGGCAAAAAGGCGGTCTTCCCGTCTTTCGAACCAAGAACAAACGCAAGACACCTGATCTGCATCCTCTCCCGCGCCCTGATCGCGTACCCACCCAAAGAACTCGACGACGCTGTCGCCCCCGTGCTAACGCTCATCCGCCGTATCTACGAGTTCGCACCTGAAGATGTAAAGAAGACGATGGAGGAGATGCTCCTTCCTACAACCGAAGAACGCGATAAGCCGCTCGGCAAATCAAACACCCTCTCCTCGCGGCTGCTCAACCTCTCCACCTCCGCCCTGACACCCGCACTCCGCGGATCGATCTCCTCGATGCTCTTTGAGCTCTCGCATAAAGACCCAGCGACGTTTGTTCACAATGTGGGATACGGGTATGCGTCGGGTTTCCTCATGTCGAACAATATAAGCATGCCGGAGGACTTGGTGAAGGCGAATGCGCCGGCGGGTGACGCAGAGGGTATACCTGTGAACCCTATCACAGGACAGAGGTTGGATAAGGAGGAGCAGGTGGAGATGGAACCTATGTCACAGGAGGAGAAGGAGAGGGAGGCTGAGAGGTTGTTTGTGCTGTTTGAGAGGTTGAAAGCGACGGGTGTGATGGATGTGCAGAATCCGGTTGAGGAGGCGTATCGCTCTGGGAGGATTCAGGAGTTGCCGGATGATGAGTCGGATTGAATCCGGGCTGGGCTGTACACGGTCAATAGAGCAAACCACATTATTACCCATCTGAGTTGGACTGACATAGTGATAGACTATGGATTGATGATATGGAAAGATAAGTATAAGGTCTCTGCCACACATGCGCCAAGTTACCCGGTTTCCTTGACTCCGCCTTTTTTCTGATATAATATGTCGAGATCACCCAGCAAGATATGAAATATTGCTCCAACGCCGTGGAAATGCCGTCGTAGAACGATAAGAAAAGTTAGGGTATATCGCGACCTGAATATGTATCGACCGATGAAATGTGGTTCTTGGTACAAGTAACGCCTCCTGAGAAGTCGTTTAGAGATATATGTCATAAATGTGCTGATGATATGTTGACGTTAACGTCGAGAACGTCGGACAGCGCGTCGCACGCATTGGTTGCTAATTGTCGCTAGGTGGTGACGCCGATCTCGAGTAGTCAGGACAATTGCGATAGCCGACATCTTTCCGATGATACCGGTCATCGGCACGACGAGGATACGCAGCGGGAATCTCGATACTCGGCAGAAAGCCCGTGCCGTTCTCGTTGCTATACTCGCTGATCCAGAATGGGCTGAGAAGCCGCTTCAGGGTCGCAGCAATGAGACTTCCGAGACAAGCGTTGATGCGGCATACCGGGTAGGCGGCAAGCCAGAGTAGAAGTACGATACCGGCGCCTTTCTGCCAAGGTGACATGCCAACGATAGTCGCAAGAGGAGGTTGGTCGTGGAACCTTGCGACGCGGGAGGGGAGATCGCCGAGCCAGTCGAAGATACCGCATGTGTGCAAAAGAAAGGCAGAGCTGCAAGCGCCGGCAGTGTAGGCCGCAAGCTTTTTGTTGAGCTTGTACAGGACAGTGAAGATAAACAGTGTGCCGATGGTGGTTAGGAAACTGCGGACGAGGAGTGTGACAAGTGCTGGTATTGCACTCAGGAAAGCGAAACCTTCGGCAATGTGCTCAGTCTGCGTCTCGAAAATGTCCAGGCGTTGCGCGATGCTGTCCACTTTGGAAAGAGATCGATCCGCAACATCGTTAGTTCGGTTGATGGTGTCCTGAGTGACGCCCATATAGCCTGCCAGTACAGTGTAGCTGTCGACCTGAGCCTCGTGATTGGACTGGATGCTCATCCTGGCTAGATCATGGAATTGTTGGAGTTCGCCAGTGAAGTGCTTGGCAAGCTGTGAGCTCTCAAGCATCAACTCTTGCGAGAAAACTTGCATCTTCTCATGGATCTGATCAATCTCGTTGCTCTGACTCTCGGCCAGAGCTGTGATGAGATCCGAGATGGACACCTCCATGAAAGTACGGAACTTGTTGTCAAGCGCTCCCACAGTGGCAACAGCCTTCTCTTGAACAGCTTGGATGTCCTCTTTGAGCTGCTGATGAGAATCGCGAGCTTCCTCGGAATACTGCCTCTGCTCGCGGATCAACGACTCATACTCTTCGGTCGTCTTTTGCATGTTCGATGTCACATCGCCCAGCACCTGGGTCAGGTTCTTGAATATCTCAAGGTGGTTTTCTCGCTCGATGACATCTCTGCTGGCCTGGCACATGACCACTGCGTTTTGGCGGGCGTTGCTGAATGATGTCCAGTACTGAGGGGTCGATTGCAGACTCTTGAGGCATTGAGTGTATTGATACTCTTTGAAGTCGGGGTAGCATTGCTTGTCGCTGGGAGCTTCCGGCCGGGCGTGCCACCAGCTACCGCCTTTACCGCAATGTCTTGATGCCGGAACAAGGATGTCGCAATTTGCGGGTGGTGTTGGGTTGACTGGCTGGGCACTGAGAAGTTCGCATACAGCCAGTTTGGCGGCGTACTCGGTTTTGACGTTGTCCAGATACGCTTCCGGGCGAGATTTGGCGAAATCCGGTGCATGTTCCAGGAGTTTGCACTCGTTCATCAGGTGAGAAGCAGCCATGCGAGTGCAAGTAGGTGCTGTCTGCATGGAAACGACGAAGTCGACTGCTTGTGTGATCACTCTGTAGTTCCTAGATGTTGTGTACTGAAACAAGGAATCCACGTTGACTGTTGGAGCTGCATGTGCCGGTGGGGAGTGGTAATGAGAGGATACTGTAGGCAGGAGGAAAAGCCCCATCATGATCAGCTTCGCCTTGACGAGTCCATGTTGAAGTTCCATGTGAGCGATACGCTGGTGAGCGGTCAGGGCTATCGAAAGCACGGCACAGAAAGCTGGCGAGATGAAGCAGGAGCCAGGGAGTAGAAGAAAGTAGAGAAAGAGGAGAAGGCGAGAGGTCAAGGATGGTAAGATCTCTATTATCATCGACCATGTGAGTTCACGATATGGTAAGAGAGCGGAGAAGACGCAACGTTGAAGAGCCTGGAGCATGATGCCTGCTGCGACAGGAAGGTGAGGTCAAATCTGTGGTAAGAGCACGCGCTGTTGGTTGACGATCAAGAGGCACATGCCTGGGTGAGAGGACGGTCAGTTGAAGGTATCAAGCGTCAGAACTTGACGCTGCATTGTGCAGCATGTTCCTCAGGGAGTGATGACGGCTGGAGTGTTGTGGTGTTGAGGGGTGCCCAGGCGTTCGTGGGGGAAGGTGCGACAGCCCATCCAATCAGAGACGTCGATGACGCGCTATCACGAGACCGGATGAGCTAGCAGCGAGTTGGAGATTCCGAAAACTCTCGCGATAATCATTGCTGGCATCAAATCAACATGTTCGCCCCAGCACGACGGCGGTGCGCCCAAAGCTTCGCAAAGGCCTCGAGCCAGAGCAGCGACTCAATAC